CTGGTTATATCATTGGTCTACCTGATTCAGTAGGGGTCTCCTCACTGGAAGACCACATGAGAATGGGATCATGACCCATGTGATAGGGAAGAGAGCATTGGGGCTCAGAGAGGTGAAGTAATTTTCTAAGGGTGCACAGCCTTGTGGTGGATGAGCTGGGTCTGAACTCCTGTTGAGGGCCAACGTGGGTCAAGCCATGGGATAGGTTGTGCTTGACATTAGTGAGGAACTCTTGTCCCTAGAGTGACTTTTTTCCCCAAAGGGGATGATGGCAAAGTCCAGAGGCACTCTGGATGGTCGCAGGTGGAGGTGTGTGTTACTGGCAGCATCCCTCAGGGAGAGGAGCTGCCAGGCATTCCACCATGCACAGAGCAACCCCCAACCAGGATGCCAGGGCCTCCCACAGGCCCTCCCCAGTGAGTGCCCAGACCCAGACTTCAGAGCTTCCCCCAGAGGCACTTTTGGTCAGCCTTGGGGTCACCCTTGGTCTATCACTGCAGCTTGGGGAATCTGCCTGTGGAGCCACCATGGGTTCTGCCCCATCTTGGGCTCAGTTCCTCGTGGCTGCAGCAGCCTCCCTGTGATTCTCCCCCTTTCTCCAGTTCCTCTCAAATCCACCTTCCATGCCAGAATATTCTCACTAAGAGATAATGGCTCTGCCTTCCAGTGTCCGGGGTGACGCTGCTGTTCTCCATGGTCCTTGTAGGGATGGAGACTCCGTGGAGCAGGGCCTGGCACCACCTGGCCTGCCTCAGACCCCCTGGCTTAGCTTAAGAGGCATCTGAAGGCACGCCTGCCTCTCCTAGTCCATTTGTAGCAGTTAGTTATAGCTGAGGAACAAATTTTCCACAAATGAGTGACCACCAGGGATGACCCTTCGTTTAGTTCTTGATCCTATTATGGGCTGGCCGTTTAGGTTGGGCCATTCTGGTTAGTTTCTCAGCGTGCTCCCCTGTGTGTGTGGCCACCCAGCGTGGCTGACATTTGAGGCTGGACATTTTATTGTTGTGGGGGACTGTCTCGTGCACAGTTGGGTATTTGGCTGCATCTTTGGCCTCTCCTTGCTGGATTCCGTGACACTCTCCCACCCTCATATCACGGCAGCCAAAAATGTCTCCAGACTTTGCCCAGTGTTCCCGGGGTAGGGGGCGGTTGCCCCCAGTCCAGTACCACGGGCTGAACTTAGTAGAGATTTCTTACCCTCCGACAGCCAATATGGGTACGTCTGGCCAGTGGGTAGCTTTCTGTCACTTGGTGATAAAGGGACTGTCTCCTTCCGTCTTTTGGTCTTTCTATCCCTTGGGGCCTTGGGGTCCCAGCCCATGAAAGTCAGAGAGAGCAGAAGCCACAGTCACTTCTTAACTGTCTTGACTCAGAAGTGACATGGAAGTCCCCTCTGACATTTCAGGAGAGAGGACTGGTCTCATGGCTTCATTCTGTAGTCCCTGGCTGGGACTACATTCCAGGAGGACTCTGTGCAGCCCTGTTTCTGTCAACAGTGGATTGTACATTTGTTGGAGGTCCTATGAGATCCTAGCAAGGTCACATACACACCATGCACTTCCACCTTGTTCCCCGAGGTGCACAGACTTGGAACATGCCGCCATGTTGTGAGGAAGCCCAACAGCCCTCATGTCTACAGTGTTCAGGAATCAGAGCAAGAGAGAGCAGGGAAGGGAGGGAGTGCTATGAGATTGTAGCAAAGCCCCCACAGTCCTCCTGCTTAGCAGTGTTGTAGTTGTCACAGTTGAACGCGTCAGTGCGACTTCTGCATGTGTGGTGACGTTGGCGTGACACACCTGTGCATTCCACCACACATAAGCATAGCTCACGTGAATGTACACGGTCCGTGATACTCAATGATGATAATGAATGACCTTGTTCCTGGTTTGTGTATTTACCATACGGTACTTTTCATCATTATTCTAGAGGTACTACAGCTTATGAAAAGACATTTATGTAAACAGATGAGTGAGCCTTGTCATCTGTGCTTCCTGCGTCTCTTGACTGTGTGGAGAGGTCACACCAAGGGGTCGATGCACTCTGATTTCCACACAAGATGAAACCACCCACGAGCCACGTGTGGGGACGTGTATTAGATATGGAAAATGACAAACCCCCAAAGTAGTGAGACCCGGGGAAAGGGGGGTGAGAAGGAGAACCGTACAGTGAGAACATTGATCCTTTCCCAACACATTCTTCCCCGGTGATGAAACCAACCCTCAGGAAGAGGTGTCCATCACACCTGGAAAGGCAGCCTCTGGGAAGGGGCCGAAGCATAATCCTTCCATAAACAAATCCTTCCCAGATACCAACCACTGACCCCAGGCCCTCCATCAGGTCCAGTAACGTAAATCCCAGAAACTGACCACTGACCCTAGACTCCCTCCCATTTTGCCCCGTAAAACAGACCCTAAATTCCTAAGCACTAAAACTGACCCTTCACTGGTTGATAGGACAATCTCCAAATTCCTGGTGCCCGAAGAAGATTGACATGCTCCCTAGACCACCCTCAGGGTAACCTAGACCAGCCCAGGCCCTTTCTTTTCCACCAGGAAAGTGGGTCCCACCATGGTGTCATTTCGTCCCTGCCTCCCCTGCTCCTGTGTGAACCTTCGTTCCTGAATAAAGCGCTGAGCTGATTTGTGAAGTGTGCGTTCCTCCAGGTCTTTTTGTGCTAACAACGTGTCCCCGTGGGTAGGTGACCCATGATGCTTTGTTGGACCTTTGCACAACCCTGCTTCACACCCGCTCTCCACCTCACAGACATTGACGAGTGTGTTGACATGTGCCCCTTACGTTCCGACTGCACCAACACTCCCGGGAGCTACTCTTGCACCTGCCACCCTGGCTTTGCACCAAGCCATGGTCAACGGCACTTCAGAGGCCAGGGAGTGGAGTGCAGGGGTGAGCAGGGCTTGCCACACAGCCCGGGAGGCAGCTCCTCCTTGTGCCTCCGAGTTTCTTGACGGCCCTGAACTCTTGCAGATGTTGACGAATGCTCCCAGGACCCACCACCGTGTGGCCCCAATGCAGTCTGCACCAACACCCCAGGCTCCTACAGCTGCCGCTGCACCGCGGGCTTTCGTCCCCACCACGAAGGTTCCCAGACGCAAGCCAACTTCACCTGCCAACGTAAGACCTCCTGGTGTGTGACGGCCACAGGGAGGGTCTGTGCTGTTGGGCTTTGGTTGTAAACTCCTCGCTCTGCTCAACCTGGGGACCCTCCTTTCGCTTTCATCTTGCTCACACGCTCTTTTCCTTTGTGTCAATTCATTCATTCATTCATTCATTATGTTTGGACCAACTACTGTTTACTAAACTTCCCAGCGCCCTGGGCTCCAGGCTGAGCCTTCCATCCTGGATACGCGGGGCCTGATCCCTGCTCTTGTGTGGTTTATGGTCCAGGGAAGGAGCCAGAGGTCACACGGCTAGTGATTGACAGTAACTGTGACGAATGCTACTGAGAAATCACAGTGTGCTTGGAGGTGACCGAGGGGATGGTTCATGTGCCCTGAGCCAGGGGACTTAACAGCCACTTGAGGAGGCACAGGGTCCTGCCGAGGAGCAGGGGAGAAGCAGTGTTCTGGGGGACGGCAGGTGCCAGTCTCCTAGGCTCAGGCTGACTGAGAGTGGGCAGAGGTGGGGCATCAGGTGACCCTGACGAGGCAGGCAGAAGCCTGATTGCTAAACAGTGGGGAGATTTTCCACCCCCAAGAACAACAGGGAACTAGGGAGGGCTGAACATTTTTAAATGATGGATTTTTTGAGACACTAAAAACACATGTGAGCTGGGCACGTGGCACACGCCTGTCATCCCAGCGGCTCAGGAGGCTGAGGCAGGAGGCTCTGGAGTTCAAAGCCAGCTCAGCAACTAGCGAGTCCCTGAGAAACTCAGTGAGACCCTGTCTCTAAATAAAATACAAAATAGGGCTGGGGAGGTGGCTCAGTGGTCGAGGGCCCCTGAGTTCAATCCTTAGTACCAAACAAAAAACAAAAAGCAAAAACCCCCCAAACCAACCAACCAAACAAACACACGTAACTCTTCTTGTGTGTGCGGTGCTGGGGATTGACCCTAGGGCTGCGGGCACGACGCCAGGCCGGGACTCCATCACTAAGCTACCCCCAGCCCTGGGCAGACGAACTTAAATGAAGTATAATAACAAGACAACGCACCTGAGGCCCTTCCAGTGTCCGAACGGGGACATGATGGACTCCACTGTATCCCTGGAAGGCTCCTTCCCCATGCTCCTCTGTCCTCTGCTTGGGCCACCTGGAATTCTGTGTCCATTCCTCCCTCTCTGGGCATCTGCCTCCCACCGACATCTTGCTCATTTCTGCCTGGTTTGGAGTTTTATAGAGATGGTGCCGCACTCGGCCATGTCCTCTCTGCCTCTCTTCAAGCTTCCTGGAGTCCTCGTGCTGCAGCGTGGCTGCCATCTGCTCGTCCTCCTGCCATGTGTCTCGGGTGGATTTTAAACTGGGGGGTAGTGAGATTGGACCTGCTTTTATTCACAATCGCAGTTCGACTTGGCTGCTCTTGTCTTTGTCCCAGGGATTCTCTTCAAATGTAAGGAAGACATGATACCCCATAACAAGCAGGCCCAGCAGTGCCAAGCAGGGGCTCCCGTGGAGCTGGAGTATGTAAGTATCGCTGAAGGTCATAGCTCTTGACGTTCTCCCAGAAGCCTCTTAGGTAGGACGTAGTTTTTATCAGTCTTAACAGAGGCAAAAAGTCAAGTGGCCTAAACCAAGGAGCAGTTCCTGTTTCTCCTCTGTGGAGACGTGGGTGTCAGCGTTGGAGAGCCGATACGGCGTCCACCGTGCTCTGTCACGGTCAACACAAGTCTCATTTTTGTGGTCCAAGATAGCTGCCCTGGCTCCTGCTATCACATCTGCTTTTTAGATGATAAGGGGAAAAGGGGAAGTGAAACGTGAAGTCCCTCTCTTTAAGAGCATGCCTCATGACTGTAAGGGAAGGGGAAGGAAATTAAGAAAGAAGGGTTAAGAAAGGGTAACGGGGAGGGAGGATACCATCCGAGTCCGCGTGAGCTTGTGGATTCAATTAATAATTTAATTATTAATTCATTAATGGAATAATTGTGCACGTTAATGGGGTAATTACTGCAGGATATTTCAATACAAGCACAGGTGTGCACTGATCAAATCAGAACTATTTGCACTGCCTTGTCCTGGTCCTTGGCTGGAGCCTTGCCTGTCCTTCAAGCAGCTCATGATCTGTAGCAGGTTCTTGTAAGCTATGGCCACCCACACTGCCGCGGAGCCCGGAGCCCGTTCCTCTTCTCTGGGGGTGGACTGTGAGGCTCACAGGAGCTTTTCCTTCTGTGGACACAGCTCCCCTTTTGTGCCCTGATGAACGACACCTTCCACGTGCTGGACAAAACCTGTGAGAACAAATCCGCGGTGTCCCTGCAGGTAACCCCGCGTCTTGAGTTCTGAGCATCTGGGGGAGGCTCTGCCTGGAGAAGGCCTGGTTATCATCCCTGGGTTGTGAGTTAGCCTCTCGTTAAAGAGGAACATGCGGACATCTGAAAATAAGCGTACAGTCAACTTACCTCTTTATTTTTTTTGGGGGGGGTGTGCACTTCTGTGAGTTTAATTACTGGCTAGATTTGTAGGCTCCCACTAGTCAGGGTGCAGCCCGGCTTCATTTCCTCCAGGCACCGCCCTCAGTCTTCCTCTTCTAGTTAGATGCTTCCTCCCTGGACAGCCCCTGTGGTCCCCGTCTCTTCTCTCTCACGGTTGCTTTGTCTTCTTGAGAATGTCAAATAATTCAGATCATACAGTAAGTGAAACTGGGATTGAACCCAGGGGCACTCACCCACTGAGCCACACCCCTAGCCCTATTTTGTATTTTACTTAGAGACGGGATCTCACGAGTTGCTTAGTGCCTTGCCTTGCTGTTGCTGAGGCTATTTTTGAACTCACAATCCTCCTGCCTCAGCCTCCTGAGCTGCTGGGATTGCAGGCGGGCACCATGCCCGGCTGGAGACTGGCTTTCCCCCCTCGAAGCATCATGCACTTAAGATCGGTCCTTGCTCAGAGACCTCCTGAGAGTGGCACCCGTGCCTGTCCTGGTTGGCTTGTCTCTCTGAGCTCCATGTCCTTAGGTGCACTCTGGTGGTGGGGGTGTCAGCTCTTCCTCCTCCAGGCTGCTGTCTGAGGTTCCTTCTGGTGAGCGTGCCACACTTTGCTCATCCACTCAGGTTTGAAAGACATCTGAGCTGTTTCCGGCTTCTGTGGACTGAGGTGGGGCTGCTGTAGTGGGAGTTGCTAGACCACTACAGCCGTGGGGAGCCAAGTCTGGTTTTTCTTCACCTCCAAGCTGGACCTAAGGGTGTTATTATTTTATTTGTGAATCTGGTTATTTTTTTGCAGAAAAATAAGAATGACATTTTTATTTGTAACTGGATCCATTGAAAATTAATTCAGCATATTTATTCATCAAGTGTACCTCCATTCACAGGGTTTTCAGACTCAATTTGTACAGATGATTAACATTGTTCACTAACTTGGATAGATCGCATTTTATCCTACATTTACATATAGTTTTATTTCCCCCCAATTTCAAGTATCAGGAGGGAGATTTAGAAATCTGATGGGCAAGGTCACTAGGGCCCTTTGGTGACAAGTCAATCAATGGAACCTACAATAATGCAGATTCTCCCAAGCAGCCTGTTCTCGGAAGCTGCTCATGTTAAAACCCCAAGTTACAGGCTGGGGCTGGGGCTCAGTGGCAAAGCGCTTGTCTAGCAAGTGTGAGGCCCTGGGTTCGATCCTCAGCACCACATAAAAATAAACAGATATAAAATTATTGTAGATTTTATAATAAAGATATATTTCCATCTACAACTAAATAAATAAATAAATATCAAAAACAACCCTCATTTACATTTTGCCGTGAAATCACACGGCTAACTGGTTAGCTTCTCTAACGTGACAACTTGTTGCAAACCCTTGATATAGCTATAGTCAGATTTTGCTAAAGAATTCAAAACCTGAGTTTAACACAGAAGAATTTCCCCTGAGGATCTGTAGTTTGCCTAAGTGTGTTTTCTTTCCACAGTGTAGGAAGTAACTCTTTGGGCTAAGATCAGGGCTTGTGGGCTCTCCTCAGCCATGGAATTGGGGAGCTGGCGCTCTCCAGTGCCTGGGGTGCAGGCTGTGCTGCGGTGTGGTGGGTGTGGGGCCTGGCAGGGTGGGGCGGGGCGGGAAGGGGGGCAAGTGGCAGGGCTTGAGGCTCCTGCTGCTCAAGTCCCACCGTACCCTTTGGAGCTGGAAACCCTTTTTTTTTTTTTTTTGTAATTTTTAGCATATAATTTGGATAGACAGAAAGTTGTGCCCAGAGTCGGATTTCTGTTGAATTTCCTTCACCATCTTACTGAATTCCATTCATTTTCCCCCCTGCGTTTATTAAATTCTGAATTATTTTCATACTTTTTTTTGGCTTGGGTCACTTAAAACACATCACTTATAAAACATTATAATTTTATACTCTAATTGTATAGATATTATAATTATATCCTTAAAGTAATACTGGGATCATGATAAGTGAGAGCTTTTTATTTGCATGTGCCAGAAGCTTAAATTCCACGCATACCAAGTTTTCCATGGACGTAGCTGTTTCTGGGACCCCGAGGCAGCCTACACGTGCTGGTCTGCGGCTTCCTTGGTGATAGTCAGGGACCTGGGTGCCTCTGCGGGCAGGTCCCTGGCCCCGTCCCCGTTGGCAGCGGCCTGCTGTCCCGGGACTGGCCCTCGTCTTCACTTACTCAACAGTGTGTCGGCATTTAAGATTTCTAGAAATCCTTTTGAAATCAACGTCTCTCGAGGAGACCCGGCCCAGTTTTCAGGTTCTCCTGCAGGGATCCACTCCTGGAAGGGAAGGTGCCTGTCACCGAGCCACGCGGCGGGCGCTGTCCCAGGTGCTGACTCGCCGCGCCCTTGAGGGCGCTGCTGGAAGTCAGGGCCGGGCGGGGCTCTTTGACCTCCCTGGCTCTGCGCTGGTCTCCTGGTGACAGAGTGGCGCTGGTGTTTGAAAAAGGAAGTGCACGTCCCAGGCCGAGCGCAAGCCAGCAGCCCCAGAGACGGAGATTTGTCAAACGGGGAGAGCGGGTGGGGCCCGAGTTGGGGTGAGGCTGTGCAGCTCTGCTGCGGGAGGTGGCCGCACCCCGCTCCCCAGTGGCCGCAGCAGGCCCGGCAGAGGGCGAGGATGCGCCAGCCCTCAGGCCCTTCCCACCGCCAGGTGCCCTGTTCCCACCTGGAGCACTAGGGGGCCCTGCCGCGCTCGCTCTCCGCTCTCCTCCTGCGGGTTTCCTCCTCTGCCCCTGGGTCGCTGCGGCTTGGGAACATCTAGTTGGTCTACACAGGAGCGGAACGCCAGGGCCTGGACACGGTATATGACTGCAGCCCCGAGTTACGTTTCCAAAGGGTGCCCCGCATAATGCCTAACTCAGGTGAAGCTGTGTCTCTTCCAACATTTGTCCTTTCTTGATGGTGAAAGCTTCAAACCCTTTCTTCCAGTCTTTTGAAATGAACAACATATTACCGTCACCTCTAGTCACCTAGTGTGCAGTGGCACCCCAGAACTCCTTGCTCCTATTAACTGAACCTTAGTCCCCACAACCAGCATTTCCCCACTCTTCCTCTGACTCTGCCTTCCCGGTTTCTAGAAACTACCATTCCACCCAAGAAAGCAGTTATTAATGAGAAATGAGAGGAGAGGAGAAGAGAGGGGAAGAAAGAAAGGAGGGAGGGAAGGAGGAGGTGAAAGGGGGAGGAAAGGGAGCAGAGAGGTGAAAGGGAAGACACAGGGGAGGAGGAGAGAGGAGGAGG